TGGGCTTATGTTATGAAAAAAAATTTATTGGGAAAAAACAGGTAGAATTATATTAGTTATGTTGTACAGCCTCCAACTGATACTAAGGCAAAAAATTATGTTGATTTGAAGAGTACTTAGGATATCAACAATGCAAAAATTATCACCTGGATAAATAACTCAGTTGATCAGACCATTGGGGGTTCATTTTCTTTATGTTTTGTGCACACGTTATATTGAAACAAGGGTTTTTTGCTATATTTTTCGGTTTAAATCTTCTCTAAGAGGTACGACTAAGCTTCCATAGTCCCTTCTTAAGAGACTCGAAGCTTTTGAGGAATTTTTTTTGGTTTAAATTTGGCCATCTGAGGGTTTTGGTGTAACTGGTTTCTAGCGACATTGGTTCTGTTGCTAGGGTTATGGGTAGTCTTCTTGTTCTGTGATGTTATTGCTATACTCGTGGGTTGCTTTGATCTTCGGCTGATTGTGGGTAGTCTCCTTGTTGTGGCATCGGCTGGTCTTGTGACTTCGACAGTCTGAAGCAGTGCTACTGCTTTGTTGTTGCTTTGTTATTTGGAGCTATGGTTTTATTTGGTGGCTGCTGGGGTCTAATTGCTTTCACTTTGACTGTGGTATATATTGATAATTGGTACTACATTGACAAGTGGAATCTCTGATTCACTTCAAGCCATTAGTGTGAGATTAATAGGTAGAAATTATGTTTATTGGGCTTATGTTATGAAAAAAAAATTATTGGGGAAAGACATGTGGAATTATATTAGTGGTGTTGCACAGGTTCCAACTGATACTAAGGCCGAAACTTATACTGATTTGAACAGTACTTGAGATATCAACAATGCAAAAATTATCACTTTGATTAATAACTTAGTTGATCAGACCATTGGGGTTTATCTATCTAAGTTTAGCACAACTAAGAAAATTTGGCGTTATTTAGCCACACTTTTTGTCTAGTCTAATTGTGCAAAGAGGTATCAACTAGAACATGAGATTCGAGATACACATCAAGAGGACAAAACCATACAAGAATTCTACTCAATTATGACTGGCTTCTAGGATCAGTTAGCACTTACTGAACCCACTGAGTTGAGCACTAATTTGACATATCGTACTTTCAGAGAGGAACAAAGGCTGGTGCAATTCTTGATGGCCCTTAGAGATGACTTCGAGGGACTTCGTGATTCCATTCTTCATCATCATCACCCACTCCCCTCAGTGGATGCAATTGTTAATGAGCTCTTAGCTGAAGAGGTTTGTCTTAAAACCCTTTCTAGAAAGGGTCTTCTCCCACTGCCAAATCAGATTGTATTAACTGTTCCTTCTAAAATGACCTCTAATTCCCAAAATAAATATCGAGGTCGAGTTACTTCTGATGAGTGTAGCTTATGTCGTGAAAAGGGCCACTAGAAGGCCCAATATCCAAAGTTGATGAACAAGAATGCACAAGGGTCTCAACATCAGTCATTTAAGTCTAGAGATTGTCATACAGCGGCCGTAGCACCACCAGTGGATGAGTTAGCCTCATCAGTTCTTAACCTGACTATGCTTGCAAATTAGCTACAGAAGTTTCTCTCTTTTCATAAGCCTGGTGCTCTCACGGTTTCTCCCACTTTTGGTTCGTTCAGCTCAGGTCCTTCAGTTATATCTCGAATCACCTGAATCTTTGACTCAGGTGCCACACATTATATAACTAGTGACTCTTCTTTATTTGCATCTATTATTTCTCCTCCATCTTTATCTGTTCTTGCTGCCAATAGTTCTCAAATGTCATTAGTTGATGTTGGGACAATCATTTCTTCCAATCTTAAACTTTCAAATGTCTATTATATTCCTCAACTTACTTTCAATCAATCAACTATTTGATTCTGGATTTTTAGTTCATTTTTCTTTTTCTGGTTATGTTATGCAAGATCCACGGTCCAATAAACTGATTGGGCTGGCTATAAAAAAGGAGGGTTATATGTGTTGGAGGAGCTTCATATTCCAAATGCTAATGTTGCTACTTCTACTGTTGATTTTTCTTCTTTCGTTTGAGTCCAGAGTCATCTAGTTTTTGTTTATGACATTCTCGTCTTGGTTATGTTCTTATTCTCGTTTAAAATTTTTAGCTTCGACTGGTAGTTTGGGTAGTTTAGAAAGCCATGACATTTCTAATTGAAGTGGATGCAAGTTGGCTAAATTTAATGCATTGCCATTTAATAAAAGTGTTACTTGTTCTCTTGCACCATTTGATCTTGTTCACTCTGATATATGGGGACTGACTCTTATTCCTACACAAGGAGGGTCTAAATATTATGTTTCATTTATCGATGATTACACAAGGTACTGTTGGGTATTTTTTATGAAACGTCGGTCAGAATTCTTTTTCATTTTCACTACCTTTCGTAACATGGTACGCACTCAATATTCTGCCATCATTAAACATTTTTGATGGAATCAGGGAGGTGAATATACTCTTACTTCTTTTCATGATTTGTTGAAATCTGATGGTACACGTTATCAATCTTCTTGCACTGACACACCTGAGCAAAATGGTGTTGTCGAACAAAAACACCGTCATATTTTAGAGACAACATGTTCCTTTCTATTATCAGCAGATGTTCCTAGCTCATTTTGGGGGAAAACAATTTTGACAGTAGTTCATTTGATCAACACCATTCCTACTATTCTCACCTCTGGAGTCTCCATTTGAAAAGTTATGTGGTAAGCCACCTAACTATTTTTTTTTACGTGTGTTTGGTTGTACCTCCTTTGTTTTGCTCCCTAGTGTTCTTCGTACCAAACTTTCTGCCCATTCAACTTTATGTGTATTCCTTGGTTATGGTAAGGGTTAAAAAGGGTATCGTTGCTATGATCCCATCACCCACAATCTTTATGTCTCTTGTCTTGTGATTTTTATGGAGCATATTCCCTTCGTTTCTATCTAATTCTTCCTCAGTGAATAAGTCTGACCTGCTATACATTGATCCTTTTCCTACTAATGTTCCTCATGAAACATATGTTAGTGATTTACCTGTGTCTAATCCTTCATCTTCTGAGTCAACTATTATCCGTCCCCCTATTATACATCATATGTTCACAGGACTCCAGTTATCTCCTCTCCGGATTCAGTGCCTCCCCTTTCTCCTTCGGCCGCCCAATCAGGTTCAGACACTGTGGATCATACCTCACGCTATTCTTAACGCTCTCGCAAATGTTCAGACAAGTTTGGTTAGAATAATACTTATTATTCTTTTGACTTTTGTTCTTTCCTTACTTTTATTCATTCTCTATCTGAACCCACCTCCTACAAGGAGGCTTTACTTAATCCACTTTAGAAACAAGCTATGGATGAGGAATTGTTTGCCTTACATAAGACCAGAGCTTGGGAGCTAGTACTTTTACCGCCTGGTAAATGCACCATTGGTTGTAAGTGGGTTTATAAGATCAAAATCAAGTCGAATGGTTCTGTGGAACGATACAAAGCTCGATTAATAGCCAAAGGGTTTGCTCAGGAATATGGTTTAGACTATGAGGAGACTTTTGTTCCTGTTGCCAAGATGACTATTGTTCGCACCGTGATTGCAGTTGCTGCCATTCAATAATAAAGTTTATCTCAAATGGATGTAAAAAATGCATTTTTACATGGAGATTTAACTGAAGAGGTTTTTATGACACCTTCTGGATTATCTTATAGTTCTGGTCAAGTATGTTGACTTCATCGTACATTATATGGTCTTAAACAAGCTCCTAGGACATGGTTTGGCAAACTTTCTTCGGTTATTCCTGACTTAGGTTTGCGCGCCAGTGACCATGATTCTGCCCTCTTCATACAGTCTACTTTCTCTGGCTCTATTATTCTCTTACTATTTATTGATGATATGATTATTATAGGTGATAATATTGTTGGTATATGTTTATTGAAAACTCAGTTACAGGATCATTTTGAGATGAAGGATTTGAGATAGCTTAGGTATTTCTTGGGCATTGAGATTACCTCCTCTCCTAAAGGCTATCTACTCTCTTAATCCAAGTATGCCTTTGACATTATACACCGAGCTCGCTTTTCGAATAATCGAACAGTTGAAACACCTTTAGAGCTCAATGTTCGCTACTCTTCGTCTGATAGTACTACCTTGTCTGACCCAACCCTCTATCGCACTATTGTTGGGAGTTTAGTATATTTTACAGTCACTCGTCTGAATATCTCTTATGTTGTATACATTGTGAGTCAGTTTGTTGCCTCACCCACCGCCTTTCACTGGGCTACTGTTCTTCGCATTCTTTAATATCTCTGTGGTACTCTACATCAGAGTTTACTATTTCCTCATTCTTCATCTATAGAACTCAAGGCTTACTCTGATGTTGACTGGGCTAGTGACTCTATAGATCGCAAGTCTACCACTAGTTTCTGCCTGTTTCTTGGGAATTCTCTTATTTCCTGGAAAAGCAAGAAACAAATTGTTGTTGCTCGTTCTTCTGTTGAAGCTGAGTATCGTGTTATGGCATCTACTACAACTGAGATAGTCTGGTTACGATGGCTCCTTGCGGATCTTGGCATTTTGGTATTTTCTCCTACTCCTATGTTCTGCAACAACACTAGTGCTATTCAGATTGCTCATAACTTGGTCTTCCATGAGCGCACAAAACACATCGAGATTGATTGTCATTTTGTGCACCATCATCGGTAGCAGGGCATCATCACTCTCCACTTTCTTCCTTCCACAATGCAGATAGTGAATTTTTTTACGAAGTCTCACACCATAGCACGTTTTTTATTTCTACTTGACAAACTCTTGATGTTTTCCACCACATCATGAGTTTGACAGGAGGTGTTAGAGTATTAATACTAAGGGTAGTTTAGGCATTTTCTTTATGTTTTGTTGCCCTACTATATAAGACTTTCTTTGTGTAGTTTAGATAGATTTTTAAATTTTCATGGAGTTAATGTAGATAGAAAGTAAATGTGTATTTCATACATAACGTGTGCACAACGTCAAAGTCATTTAAGAATGTTCTTACAATTGTCCAATCATCAGGCAGAAAGTGCTGAAAGCAATGTAGTCTTCAACTCATCAATCTCCTTGAGCAATTTCTCATTTTCTAGCTTTTTACTCTGTACCTCAACATCCAAAGCTGCATGTCACAACTTGCACAGATCAGAGAATTAATATTGGGTTCCCAACAAGCTGCAGTAAATTTTTGTAAGATTGCATCTCAGCACCCCATTATCAAAATCATTGGCTAATCCAAGATCAAAACAAGGGCTTCGAACAAGACTAAAAATAAACATTCAACGAGATTAAAAAAATGTAGCATCACCTACCACGGGAATGGCTTAAAGCCCTATTTGGCAGAAGAGGAACTACAATTTTACAATGGAAAGCCATTTGCCGTCCAATAATTCAAATTCCTTTCTATATGTCAAGATAACAACCAGTTGACTGGTACACAATGTTCATGTAACTACATAAAGGAAATGAGCATGACAGTGTAGGCCTCAAAGCATAAAAATATACTTCCACATTAGATATTTATCTTCACTTGTGCACCAGATTCTATGCAAGTTCTTCAGCTTGTGCATGACTTACTTGGATGATTTTATTTAATTTTTTACATGAAAAACATGCTCTTCTTCATGAAAGTGTTTTCGTAATCCCACAAGCTCTAGAATATGAGCAAGTTCCCAAGACTTCTGTTTTATCTAGGNCGGATCTTGGCATTTTGGTATTTTCTCCTACTCCTATGTTCTGCAACAACACTAGTGCTATTCAGATTGCTCATAACTTGGTCTTCCATGAGCGCACAAAACACATCGAGATTGATTGTCATTTTGTGCACCATCATCGGTAGCAGGGCATCATCACTCTCCACTTTCTTCCTTCCACAATGCAGATAGTGAATTTTTTTACGAAGTCTCACACCATAGCACGTTTTTTATTTCTACTTGACAAACTCTTGATGTTTTCCACCACATCATGAGTTTGACAGGAGGTGTTAGAGTATTAATACTAAGGGTAGTTTAGGCATTTTCTTTATGTTTTGTTGCCCTACTATATAAGACTTTCTTTGTGTAGTTTAGATAGATTTTTAAATTTTCATGGAGTTAATGTAGATAGAAAGTAAATGTGTATTTCATACATAACGTGTGCACAACGTCAAAGTCATTTAAGAATGTTCTTACAATTGTCCAATCATCAGGCAGAAAGTGCTGAAAGCAATGTAGTCTTCAACTCATCAATCTCCTTGAGCAATTTCTCATTTTCTAGCTTTTTACTCTGTACCTCAACATCCAAAGCTGCATGTCACAACTTGCACAGATCAGAGAATTAATATTGGGTTCCCAACAAGCTGCAGTAAATTTTTGTAAGATTGCATCTCAGCACCCCATTATCAAAATCATTGGCTAATCCAAGATCAAAACAAGGGCTTCGAACAAGACTAAAAATAAACATTCAACGAGATTAAAAAAATGTAGCATCACCTACCACGGGAATGGCTTAAAGCCCTATTTGGCAGAAGAGGAACTACAATTTTACAATGGAAAGCCATTTGCCGTCCAATAATTCAAATTCCTTTCTATATGTCAAGATAACAACCAGTTGACTGGTACACAATGTTCATGTAACTACATAAAGGAAATGAGCATGACAGTGTAGGCCTCAAAGCATAAAAATATACTTCCACATTAGATATTTATCTTCACTTGTGCACCAGATTCTATGCAAGTTCTTCAGCTTGTGCATGACTTACTTGGATGATTTTATTTAATTTTTTACATGAAAAACATGCTCTTCTTCATGAAAGTGTTTTCGTAATCCCACAAGCTCTAGAATATGAGCAAGTTCCCAAGACTTCTGTTTTATCTAGGTGTGGAACCACTAGATTCAACGAACACCAACAATGTCATAAGCATTTTGCATGCCTTACCAGAATTAGAACTATGAAGATCTTCAAGAATCTCCTCCACAAATGCCACCATTGAATTTTGTAAAGCATTATTTTTCTTACTCCAAAGATGAATTTCATCTTCAAGAAAGTCTTTCTCTGATAACAAAGTAGCCAATTCGTCATTTTCTCCCTTTTCAATGTCCTTCTGAAAATCTAGGCACAACATGGTGAACACATCCCTATGCAAAAACAAGTAATTCCATGTTTATGAAGATATTGTGAAACCAAAATTTAAAAGAATGTAGATCATGGAGGATATTAATTTAGAGGAATCATTTAAACAATTCGAGGAAATGATACGGAACACTTGTTTGTTTGGCCGATATTTGTCTTTGCTAAGTTTCATTAGATGTTAATATCGAGATCAGCAAAGAATTGACCCTCAATATACTATGTGAAAAAGTTCCCAATATTGTTACACTTGAAGAAGTTTAGGGGGGGCAACAATAAGTACACTTGAGATGTCGAAATACCAATATGACAAGTGACACCTGCATATTGAATCACTTCATCGTCACTTTAAAGGAAGTTTCAACCTAATGGATTTTATAAAGCATTAGAAAGTTTCACTGGGAGGAAGTTTGACTTCAGTTGGATATATGCAGAAGTATCACCAGATTAACGGTATAAAGTTCATCCTTGAACTGACAGATGAAAAGTAATTTCTGTTCACTTGGAAGATATTTTTCACCACTAAGGGTACAAACTTAAAAGGCTGAATTTAATTATTCTTCATCAGTTCTAGCTAAGCACAAGTATCCACACTCATGCACATTCGTTTATTTACCAGCATGTGGATCACAAAGTCTACATTGCAACAACACACAAGAAGGAATAGAAACCTTTAAGAACGAAAAGCTTTGACCTACAATGAACAGCATCCTAAACATAAGTGTACATGCACAAATGTTTTCTATTTTTCAGCCTTCCATAAAGAAAAGCCATATAAAGCCCAACCACAAATATGGGTTGCGTAAAAAAATGTCAGATCCAAGAATACTAGTAACCAAAAGATACACAGCATGGCAGAACTCATCTAGTGCAATATCTAAGCATGTAACACTTGGAAAGTGAATGCATGCACAAGAGAGGAAAGGTCAGTGTTACCCACACAGACATGAGATGCGAAACATTTGTACGTTGTAATACTAGAGTTCTATTCATTCTACATACACATAGCATTGAACATCACCTCTTTCTGTTTGTTCTTGTGAGGGTCTTATCCCACTTCATTTGCAGACAGTGTAACTCCTCCCCCAACAGTTTCACTGAGGTTCTTGAATCAGCTATAAATACAATCAAACAAGATATAAGAATCAGCAATGCACTCAAACTTTAATTTAATGATGGAAAAGTTACATTCTAAACCAATGTGTGATTACCTTGATTAAAACCAAAAATAACAAAAGAAAATCTTTTTACTTTTTATTTTTCCAAAATTTTTGTATTTCTCTCAAATATGACATAAAAACAGAAAAATATGCATAAAAATGCAATAACAAAGGAGAAATAAATCCCAACAGAAAGGCTAATAATGTTGCGGTGAATTACATACCTACAAACATGGATGGAACCCCCTCCCCTAAGTTTTCCCAAAAAACCCTCTATAGCAAGGGTATTTCAAGAAACAAGTGAACGTGACCAAAAACAAAACAATTGAACTATGTGTAATATATTGGCCACCAAAAATACCATAAGGATTATGGCGTAGTGGTGAAGTTATAGAAGGTAAATGCACATTTTTCACTCTTTTTGATTTGACAAATTATATTCTGATATCGAACTAGGAATGTTTGGGTTATTTGATGAAATTAGACATAAATTGAGCTATAATTATTAGATTATTTGAAGAATTGCTATTGAAATTGTTCATGATGTGATGAAATTGATTTGAAATGTAGTTGCATTCAAGTAAGTATGCAATGAAATAGTTTTCTTAATTTTGTGAAAAATAGATAATATTTTCAATGCATCATGTGAAAATTATTTTCAATGAATTATATCCAACTAAAAATTTGGATTTAAGAACAGCTTGTTGAATGACCTCATATAATGAAATCTCTAACTATGTCACTTGGACTCCCTTAACACAAAATCCTACTTCCGTCCCTGCCTACAAATGTAACTTTATAAAATTCCCATAAAGATAAATAAATAAAATGCCCATTACTTAAAATGTCTTGCATGAACCGTAGGGATAGAAATAAAGGATCAGAAACACCAGTCAAAAATTCAATTTACACTGTTTCTGAAGTCTTATACCCGGTTAGTTTGTTCTTACACAAAGCACTTTGGGTTTTTCAAGGCAGTGACCTGAACTGTAAGCTTCTCTGAAATCCAACTAAAAATAATTATTGAAATAGTTGTACCTTGATGGGCAGACTGAAGGCAGTAGGTATAGTGATGGACATATATTAACTTAATGGTTGTCTGGCATTGTAGCAAATTCTTACCACCAATTTAAGAAACTAAACACTGCATTACATTTTTCTATCTCCACCAAGCTACTAAACCATTGCAAAGTAAAACTAATTTCCTGACAGGTAACAAACTTTTATCCGCTCTCCTAACAAAAAGGAAATTAAAACCTTGTTCTAAAGCACCGGTGCATGGCATCATAGATTTCACACATTTTATCAAATAGAATAAAATGTAACCTCCATCATTTTGAACAAATTCAACTGCCAATGCCCAGTCCCACCATGCCAACATGTTCAAATAAAAATTTAATAATCTGAAAGAGCCTGCAAGAGTAAATTTAATTTGCAAAAACAACAAGTGGCTACTCCGCCAAAATCCAAGCAAACAGTTCATCAGACTCTGCAGTCTTCACACACTCATAGTCATAATTTTAGTGTTTAATATCTGCGGTAATATTATAGATTAACTAAACCTTCTAAACAATGACTCTTAGGTGAAATGGTGATATGTTTAAAGCTCAATTTGAATCTCGTAACACAATTCCTAAATACATGAGCTTTTAAGTATCACAATGAGTGCATGTCCGCAGGTTAGCAAGCTCTATAAGCATAAAGAATGCAGCATTAGGACCCACCATTTGATGTTTCAATCTGAACATCCAATTTGAGGATTATATTTCTTTTCTCTATAACATTGCAAAGGGTTTTCAACCCTGCACTTAAGCAGCAAAGGGATTTGATCTAATTTAGAGCCCAAATTCACCAAAAATGCTCAACATTAATACTCTTGATTTTCTAAAAACAGACTCATGAATAGCATTTGATCATAACGTAGACTCCAGCATAATGTCATTTAGCCGATTATTTCATATTTTTTGTCTTCCAATTGTTTTCCCCATCCAACAGTAAAATTCCATTTGTTTAACTTTTTCATGTAGTGCCGGCAAATGCACGAGAAAATCCATTTATTTCTTATTTCAATATAACTTAGATTGGTAATATACTGAAAAGCTTTGCGAATAATGTCATCATTCATAAATCATAACAACAGTGATCCGCATAGCCACACACAAATGATTATACCGAGTACAGTGACTAAAAGAAGAAATTCCAGGCACTTGTTTTTACCAGTGACCGCTTTCAATCCGTCGATCTCGAACTCTAACATGTAAGCCATCTTTGTCAACTCCGATTCTCTAGACTCCAAAGTATTCTCGATTTCGGAGCATTTGACAATTTCCGATTCTATCTCTCGAGTAATCTGAATGTTCGCTTCGATTTCTTCATTTACCTGGAGAAATGGAAAGATGAAAATACCGTCAAAGCTTAGGTTCCTGGTCTGGATAATGCTTCAAATAATCGATACGGGCGAAAGCAAATAAGAGAGAAACTACATGTACCTGGTCGAGCATGTCCTTGAGTGAAGAGATTTGGCAGAGAATCGCCCCTGAATCCTCCATTCTCTCTCTGATTCAACTCGCGCTCATACTCTTCAAACTTCCCGCGCTTTTAAACTCTCTCTCCTCCTCAGAGTGAGTGAACATTCGTTCCAAAGGTCGCAGCATGTCAGATTTAAGACGTGGTAGCCCGAGGCAGTTGAAGCCGTACCAGAACCATAAATCCAAAAGCTGTAGTTCAAATTTTAATAATTTTATGATATCACGTTATAAAATATTTATCCATTAGCTACATTGTGAATAACATATCTTTAATCAAAAAGAACATTTCTCTAAGAAAATTTTCAGTCATACTATTTAAAATAGGTATTCAAAATATATTTAAATATTATATTATTTATTTTATCTAACTATTTTTTCAAATTCACTTTAACTATACTGTCGATTTTAACTAATCATTTTAACTAATTTTCAATAATAAAATTTAAAAAATAACAATTCAACTATACAAATTTATTCAATTATAGTTACAAGAGAAAACTTATCTCTCAAAAATTACTACTCCCAAACCAAATTCTCTCAAATTAAATCACAAAATTCAAAACAAAATCACATCAAATTATACAAATAACCAAAGTCAAGATTTTTGGGGGGTTTTTTTGGATTTTTTTGGGGGTTTTGCTGAATTTCTGGGAGAGTTTATTGGATTTTTTTGGGAGAGTTTTGTTGAATTTTTGGGGAATTTTGCTAGATTTTTTGGGAGTTTTCTTGGATTTTGGGAGGGTTTATTGAATTTTTGGAAGGATTTTACTAAGCTTGGCGATAAAGATGATGTCACCGCTTCTTACAACACCACCTACCACCATCTCTTTCAACACCACCCGCCACCGCCTCTTCCAACAAAGATATACCCTCATATGATAAAAAATGCATCTATATGACTTGCTATTTTTTAAAAATTAAACAAATAAAGGAGTATGGTTTCTGGGTTGAGCTTTTGTGGTCCGGTAAAGGATTATGATTGTTGGGTTGAGCTTCTATGGGGCTTTGTGCGATCTGCGATGATGAACTTCTGTGGAGCTTTGTGGACTGAGCTTATGTGGAGTTTTGTGCAGTGACGATTTTGGTGCAAATCCAGCAATTTTGGAGTTTTTGTTGAGGAAATACCTAGCCTGTTTCAATTTCTAAATCCAACGAGCTAATATTGGCTTATGGATAATACCGACTAAGATACCGAGCCTATTGGAGCCAAAATTTGTGCACTGGCTATCTAAATTAGCTAAGAATCCCCTTTTACATAGCCCGTTGGAGATGCTCTAAGCCCCACTAGTCCTCTCTCGTTAGAGGTTTTCTCTCTGTTCGTACAGAGCATCTGTCTTTCTTAGGTTTTCCTAATGAAAGCCCTCATATCAGCCAAGAGTCATTATTAGTTGCAATCATTCCCACATCTTAGTGCTAAATTTCTATTTCTTTATATCCTCTTTGATTATTAGGGTTTCTATTGGTGAAGATCGGCTTCTTCATTTCCTCTCCTTTGCCTTTCATCAAATCTGTTTCTTCATCTTTTCTTTCATCAAATTTGCTTTTTCGACTCACCTCTTTTCCTTTTCTTTTTTATGTTAGTTATATTCAAAAAAATTTCTTACTCGCCTTTTGGTTGTAGGTCTTAAATCATATTCAACAGTCTCTTTGCTGACTAATCACTTGAGTAGTTAAAAGTATCTCTATTGCGTGGTCTGAGCGTCGGTTATGGAAGATGAGATGGAGAAATTGTGGTTGCCCTTTAAACTATCAGAGGAGGAACAATCAGATCTACAAATTACTAATAATGATTATGGAATTCTAAACAAGAAGGTAAGNATTATACAAATAACCAAAGTCAAGATTTTTGGGGGGTTTTTTTGGATTTTTTTGGGGGTTTTGCTGAATTTCTGGGAGAGTTTATTGGATTTTTTTGGGAGAGTTTTGTTGAATTTTTGGGGAATTTTGCTAGATTTTTTGGGAGTTTTCTTGGATTTTGGGAGGGTTTATTGAATTTTTGGAAGGATTTTACTAAGCTTGGCGATAAAGATGATGTCACCGCTTCTTACAACACCACCTACCACCATCTCTTTCAACACCACCCGCCACCGCCTCTTCCAACAAAGATATACCCTCATATGATAAAAAATGCATCTATATGACTTGCTATTTTTTAAAAATTAAACAAATAAAGGAGTATGGTTTCTGGGTTGAGCTTTTGTGGTCCGGTAAAGGATTATGATTGTTGGGTTGAGCTTCTATGGGGCTTTGTGCGATCTGCGATGATGAACTTCTGTGGAGCTTTGTGGACTGAGCTTATGTGGAGTTTTGTGCAGTGACGATTTTGGTGCAAATCCAGCAATTTTGGAGTTTTTGTTGAGGAAATACCTAGCCTGTTTCAATTTCTAAATCCAACGAGCTAATATTGGCTTATGGATAATACCGACTAAGATACCGAGCCTATTGGAGCCAAAATTTGTGCACTGGCTATCTAAATTAGCTAAGAATCCCCTTTTACATAGCCCGTTGGAGATGCTCTAAGCCCCACTAGTCCTCTCTCGTTAGAGGTTTTCTCTCTGTTCGTACAGAGCATCTGTCTTTCTTAGGTTTTCCTAATGAAAGCCCTCATATCAGCCAAGAGTCATTATTAGTTGCAATCATTCCCACATCTTAGTGCTAAATTTCTATTTCTTTATATCCTCTTTGATTATTAGGGTTTCTATTGGTGAAGATCGGCTTCTTCATTTCCTCTCCTTTGCCTTTCATCAAATCTGTTTCTTCATCTTTTCTTTCATCAAATTTGCTTTTTCGACTCACCTCTTTTCCTTTTCTTTTTTATGTTAGTTATATTCAAAAAAATTTCTTACTCGCCTTTTGGTTGTAGGTCTTAAATCATATTCAACAGTCTCTTTGCTGACTAATCACTTGAGTAGTTAAAAGTATCTCTATTGCGTGGTCTGAGCGTCGGTTATGGAAGATGAGATGGAGAAATTGTGGTTGCCCTTTAAACTATCAGAGGAGGAACAATCAGATCTACAAATTACTAATAATGATTATGGAATTCTAAACAAGAAGGTAAGTTATGTTTATTCGGGAGCCGCTGACGAAAAGATCCTTCAATAAGGCGGTCTTTAAGAGCACAATGAAATTGGATTGGAACTCTCTGAGCACAATAGTCCAAGACTTGGCTGATAACTTGTTCTTAATTCAGTTTACTAATATGCTGTACAAGAGAAAAGTGCTTGAAAGGATGCCATGGTCATTTGATAATCATCTTGTGCTATTAATGGAATATGATGGCAATATACAAGCGTCAAAGGTGCAAATCAGTCGATGCCCATTCTGGATTCAAGTCTATAGTTTGCCTCTTAACAGTATGAATCTAGCTACTTGTAAAATCATAGGGAATTGAATGGGTACATACCTACATGCTGATTTGAACAATGAGGGTGTTGGTTGAGGAAAGTTTCTGCGTATCAAAGTAGAGTTGGATGTGTCAAAAGCTCTCATTAGGAGCATGAATGTCAAAGGAATGGATGGTAAATCTTTCCCAGTTTTTTCAAGTATGAACGATTGCCAAACATTTGCTTTCATTGTGGTCATTTTGGACATGGGGAGAGAGATTTTCCAGTGAGACTAAGTTCACATGACTTCTCCAACCGTAGACTTTCGCAATTCGGTAATTGGTTGAGAGCCAATGGAGAGAAATTCAAGAAAGGTCCCTTGATTCATAAAACCAATCCAGGAGTTAGCAACGTAGATAAAACGATCGGAGTTGAAAGCATATCACCGGCAATGACTTCCTCCTCTCCTCTAGAGAAGGTGGTTAATGAGCCACTAATTGAGGGCATGATAAGGATTACTCCCAGGAATCTAAGCGATTTCAAAGGCCAAGATTCAGGGGTAAATACAAAACTGATAGGCGGTCAATTAGGCATTCAATTGGTTTCCTTGGATGATACTCCAATGGATATATCTGTTGGAAAAATTCAAACTGAAGCGGTAAGAGGTTTGGGGCCCAGTTTTAAAACAATAGAAACCCACCTCAAGACAACCTTCATTGCTCATATTTGTAGTGGAAGTTAGCAATCCACCCAAATTTTTGTTTCTTAGGCAAATATTTTACACTGTTGGAATGCATATGTGAAGCTTTCTTCCACAATTTTTCAGTATATATGTGTGTTGATTTTTCTTCTATGGTTTGACAAAAGCTTAGAAGGATATGTTAAGGGTTAAAATGGTAAAAATGTACAACTATAAGGCCCTCACATTATCCATTCATTAGGCTAATTCATGAACCCCAAGGATTGCGACTTAACAAAGCATTAAATCATATAGCCAAGATTTAATCTCTCTCCTTTTTTTTAAAAGGGTAATTACAACCCTTTACAACAAATGAGACTAACTACGTATAATTTTTTTTTTTTTGGGAGGAAAAATGGGACTTGAATTCTTGACCTCAAGAAGGTAAAGCCTTCACAAAGTAAAGAGTACCATTATATCAAAGGTCCATTGAAGTCTTATATAGGAGTCTCCTTGTTTCCAATTGGAGTTAAATATCTATTTCTTTGTCATGGATTCGGCATGGAGTTTATCAGTCTTTAGCTCTTTACATTTTCCTCGAATAATCTTTCATATTCATTGAGTTTCTATTTCTTTCATTTTGTTCCACTAATTTTTAGATTTTTCTCTCTTTTTGTTTTAGTTTCTTTTAAGTATATAGATTTTCTCTCATCTAGTTATCGTTTACCATACTTTGTGTAGTTTTTGATAATTATTGGTCTTCATCTTTTAAAATGGATTAAGGATTAGTGGGCAATATCTAATCATTTTCATTAATTGCAGAAGAAGATGCATTGTTAGATTTCAACAATAATGATATTGCTGCTAGTCTGAATATATGTACAAAGAGTATCTATGGAAAAGTTATGGCTATCAAAATGGTGAATTGGGGGGTATTGAAGAGTACATTTTCAAGTGTTTGGAAGTGAAGTGTCACCCAATGTGTTCTAATTATTCTTCCAGGAGATTAAGGATATGTGGAAGGTGCGTAATTAGGGGGCATGGTGCTTTAATAATCAACTTCTCATTTTCAAGCAATGGTCATAGAATCAAGTTCTAGCCAATTTATCTTTTGATTCAACCTTCTTTTGGGATCAAGTAGATGGATTGTCAAGGGAGCTCTATACTATAGAGATCACTTTAAAAATTGCAAATAACTTTGATAAGAGTGAAGTGGTGGAGATCAAGGAAATCATTGGAGAAGTAAAGAAATTTATGAGGATGCGAGGTTCTTTTCAATGTCCTCCAACCACTCCGACGAGGTATTTAGCTTTGTGACAAGAGAGGTAATGTTTGCTTTTGCCAAATTCCAATACGAATGGTTTCCTTCCATGTGCTTCTTCTTTGGTTAGATTGATCCTACAAAAAACATTGCTCAATGAAGGATTTAGTGGTGGACAATAATTAATATGGACCTTGGGTAAGTATTACTGTTAGTCATTCGGCATGCATTCGACTTCACCAGAATCTTGTTGACGATAAAAACAAAATGATAGGGAGGATAACAATCCACAAAATAAGGAGCTCATGTTGAGCAATAACAGGAGATGGTTTTTGTGTCCCTCCCAACTGTTCGATATGTGGATCATCATGGTAGTTATCTAGATGACCTTAATCTCAGGAATTTTAAAGTGAAAAGTAAAGATATAGTTCAAGCTGTAAGGCAACCGGTGGAAGTGGAGTCCTCAATAATGAGCCAAAATCTTTTATCTCAGCCCAACAAGAGATTGGATCCAAATGAGTTAGTACCTACCATTAGGCTTGATGTGGCAACTGTTGAGCCCTTCTTAACAGACCAAAATCTTTTTCCTAAGCCTGCCAAGGACGATATGAAGCTAATTGAGGTAGGTCTTGACTTGGATGGAGTTTCTAATTTCAATTTGGGTCTTACCCAACCCATTGACGTGAATATTATTAAAGCAAAGAATGCAAAGGAAGGTAAAGGTAAGAAGGCTTCCTCTCTTAATCCAACGGGCTCCCTAAACCTAAATCAAACCAAGCCATCAATGCAGTGCTCTAAAAAACTTAAGAGGAGGAAGAAAGGTAAATGGGTTATAGGAGCATCGACATTGACCAAGGAGGAGAATTGGGAGATCTAAGAGGTAACCATTGGGGGCAAGAGGAAATATCTAATATCAGCAGATCCAGATGATTTATGAAATGCCAAAGATTTGAAGAAGAAATCTCATGGTGTTCATAATGTACTTCAAACATTTTTATTAGCAGAGACTATAGTATAGTCCCATTGGGAGTCATGATAGGTGTTACATGAAATTATCGAGGCTTGGGGAATACCTGATCAGTTTGAGCCCTTTATGATTTGGTGAAAAGGGTGTTTCCCCATTTGTTTTTTTTAATGGAAAATAGATTAAAAGAATTTGAATGGGTTAAGCAATGAATAGGATTGTCCCAAGGTTTAATTGTGGATTCTCATGGAAGGGCTGGAGGTATTGCCTTGTTGTGGCATCGAGATGTTAATGTGTTTATTAAAATATTTTCTCATTTTCATATAGAGGTTATAATTGATGAGGGAAAAATTGACCAGTGACATTTTTTTGGCTTCTATGGCCACCGTGTGACGTTAAATAGGAAGAAATCATGTTTGTTATTGAGAAGACTTCCTAGGTGGTCTGATTTACCATGGGTATGTACTGGAGATTTTAACAAAATTATGTCAAATGAGGAGAAGATTAAGAGTGTGAGCAGACTTGTGTGACAGATGCATGAATTAAGACAAGCTATAGACGATTGCCAATTAATTGATTCTGAATTCAAAGGATATCCTTTAACCTTGTGGAATGGTAGTGTTGTTCCTTTTTTTTTTTTTATTAAAGCAAGACTTGATAGGGTTTGGGGATTAGCTTCATGGATTGTCAAATTTTCGGATTGTACTATGACCCATATCCCTTTTCTAGAATCTGACCATTGCCAGTTGTTAAGCCTGGGGAAGATTTGGTGATTAGTCAAAGGAGGATGAAGATGTTTCGATTTGAAGCTATGTGGTTTGAAGTTATTTAATGTGTGAAAAATATCTCTTATTCTCTTCTTCTTAATGGTGAGCAGATGGAAATTTTCAAACCAGATAGGGGTCTATGACAAGGGTTTCCTCTTTCATCTTAACTAATTTTGCTATGCTCTAAAGGTTTGACAACCTTACTCAGGGATATGCAAGAAACTAGCTTGTTGTGTGGAGTTCCGATAGGAATGAGAGGGCCAACAATCTCTCATTTACTCTTTTCCGATGATAGTATTCTATTTACAAGAGCAAATCATGAGAATGACGTTTCTATAAAGGAGTGTTTGGTCTCCTATGAGAAAGTTTCAGGTCAAATTATAAAATCTTTCTAAATCGGCAGTTGTTTATGGTAGGAATGTGAGCTTAAATGATAGGAAGGTGATAAATAGGCTTCTTCGAATACCAGAGATAGAATGCCATGAGAAGTACTTAGAACTGTCATCCATTGCTGGGAGGTCATAAATTGAAATCTTTGAGTCAATTTGGCAGAGAGTATGACCAAAGATCCAGGGTTGGCAAACTAAAGTATTATCAATTATTGGAAGAGAAACTCTTATTAAAGCTGTGGCACAAGCCATTCCCAATGTCATGTTTTTAAGAGCCCATATTCTTTATGTAATGAGTTACATAGGTTAATGGCAAAATTTTGGTGGGGTGGTACAGATTCTTGTGGCAAGATTTATTGGATTTCTTAGGAAAAGCTTTGTATATTGAAGTCAAACGACTGAATGGGTTTTCGCAATCTAGAGGCATTTAATCTAGCTCTCTTTGGCTAAGCAAGCTTGGAGGCTTATTAAAAACCCACACTAGCTTTTATCCAAAGTGCTAAAGAACAAGTATTATCATTCAGTTGAGTTTTTGGATGGTCATTTGGGATCCAAACCTTCATATACATGGCGTAGGATAATGACAGCTAGAAAGATTATTCATGCAGGTACTCGTTAGGAAATAGGCAATGGTGAATCTATTCAAATTAAGGAGGATAATGGATTCTGAGGCCCATCTTTTAAGGTCATTAGACCCTTTCATAATTTACCTGAGAATTTGCTAGTGAGCTTGTTGTTTGATAAAAGATAAAAGGCGTTGGGACTTTGGTCAATTGTAGGAGCTTTTTCTTAAGTTTGAAGCTAAAGAAATTGCAACAATACCAATTTATGAGGATCTTCCTCAAGATTGTTTAGTCTGACACTACACAAATTCAGGTTCATTTATTGTTCGGAGTACATATCATGCAATAATGGATCAAAGATTACATAGGAACAATGGTACCTATAGTGAATCGAGTAGCAGTTCAAGAAATGGAGATGTGAAGTTTATTTGGAATCTCAAGCTTTTGAGGAAAATCAAATTTTTTGCTGAAGGTTATTTCTAGATATATTACCAACCCAAGCAAATCTCCATAGACAAAGAATCCAAGTAGATGATGGTTGTTTCTTTTATAGTGATCAATTGGAGTCCTTGGAACATTTATTTATGAGGCATGCGTTCTTTCTCTCCCTCCCTCCGCCATACATCTCTTTTTTTCTCTCTTTTTTTTCTTTTGGCTATTCATTACAAGTGTGGAATGCTTATGGTTTAATCTTCCCCAGTTGCATGAAACTCGTGTACATCAATGGTTGTCCACTGCATTGGAGACGCTTCCAGTTGATCAATTTCATCTGGTGATTATTCTGATGTGGTCTGTTTGGTACAATAGAAACAGAGCAAGGTTCAATCAAGAGGTAAACTAGATCAAATTCTTGGTTTCTCTATTTCGTATCTAAATAAACATAGTGTGGCCCAAACACATATTCCATAGATGGTGCACCTAAATAATTTTGAGGGCTCATTGAGGTGGTCTACTCCTTTTAATTTTATTAAAGTTAATTTGATGGAGCCATTTTCACTTCAGAACAAGCTGCAAGAGTTGGTGTTGTTGTTAGAGAATGTAATGGAAAGTTCATTTCCGCGCTATGCAAATTTATTCTGGGTATTCCTTGTGCTAATCAGGTGGAAAAATGGGTGGCTTATGAAACAATCAAGTTTGCAGTGAGAATGGTTTATTATAGGATCATTCTGGAAAACAATTCAAAAGTGACAATTGAGCTCATCAATGGACATGAAGACTACCTTTCAAATTTGGGCCATTTTATTAAGCAAATCCATGCTCTTGTTGGAAGCTTTATTAGTTTTAATGCCTCGGGTTTGAAGATCGTGTAATGAGGTAGTTCATAGCTTAGCTTCTGATTTTTTTGTATGAAGGGGAAGTTTTTCAGATTTTTTGGCTACTCCAATCCAAGCAGATAATTGTTCTGTTTAATATATGGATGAATTATGATTTTGTATATACAAAAACAAGGATTACAACCTAACAGGCCAAGTAAAGGCTTGGACAGGAATAAACCAATATCCCACCCAATTAGGTGGTTGTGTAGCATTGGGTTAAATGAAGAAGAACCTACTAGGGAAGTGTCGATCGACACACCTAGAGGACGACCTAGCCAATTGAAAGCCCTCCAAGGGAGACCTAGCTGGCCGACAGGCAGCAAACTACGATCCTAGGAGGTACCTCGTTATCACCTTCTGCTTTCCCACCTCTACTAGAAGAGTCATATTTTAACACTACTCCGACCTTTAAGGAGCTAATGATAGGATCAACTGCACCCACCTCGACAATTACATCTCTATCTTCAACCTAGGAGCAAGAGTCATAGTTCAATACTAATTCAAATATTTAGGAGCTAGTGATAATGTCAATAGCGGATCAATTCTATTGGAACTCAGAGTTCTAGCTTCAGTGAAACATTACTTCCTACTATTATAAATAAAGCCTCTGGGTTCTGATTAACCCTAAAAAGTATGCAAGTGAATTAGGGTTTAGGGTTAATTATGTGTGTTAATTGAATAAAAGTGTTTGATTGAGATTATATTATGTCCAATGTTTGAATAAAATATTTTTTAGGGGCTTGTATGCAAATAGGGAGAATTGGAGGGCTAGAGTGCAAAGAAGGAACACAAAGAGAATTGACAAAGGAAAAAATCAGCAACGAGGTACCATCTGGATGGTATATGCTTTGTTGTTTCCGTTGTAATATATCCTAACCTCCAAACATCATCCCTCAATGCGTATAGTCTATGTGTGGAGGGGAGTGTCAGTCTCCCTTTGAATGATGTCAAAAGAAAGAGCAATGGAATAGTGGGTGAATAAAATGTATGAAATGTGTGTGAATAAAAATACTTCTCAAGTCCAGAGAGACTTTTGCTTGTCGTGTTTTACTTGAAATCGTGTTCTAAGGTCGTCTCCTCAGGGAAGGAGGTGTATCATCATGAAGGTAATTATTTGTAAAAATAAAGTATAAAATCTTTTGTTGGTTGAAGGTTGGTTTGTGATTGTGATGAAAATGAAATAGAACAAATGTTGGCTAATCCAAAGGGTTCACTCAAATGGGAATACTAAGTCAACTCGAATCCTTCCTCCAATAGAGCATAGATGTACGATTGATTCGTGGAAAGCTAGGGATGAGATGGAATTGAGGATCCAAGCATAACATGTGACAAGTCTATGGAATATCAAAGACTCACAATCCCGTCCACCCTCTACCCAGTCAAACCGAACCATCGTACTCTGAGAGGAGGAAGGAAAATGAATTGAAATGGCATACTCAAGAGGAGGTCTCCCTTGGATTAGCCAACTTAAAGGCTTAGCCACTTATACTTAAGGTAAAGACAATAATGTAATGAGAAGACATTATAAAGAAATGAAAATTGGAACTAAGCTAATGCAAAGAAACATAAACTAAGAGAGAATACATTTAATACCCACTTTAAAACTAAGAATTTGAAAGAAAATGAAATGCACAAATATAACTTTTAGATGATTTATACAGGTCCATCACCTTTTTTCTAAAAAGTGAATAAAAAACTACTCACTCTTCATGGCTTTGGTAAAGCTAGAAAAGTGAGTGATATTCATCCCTCAAAGTAGAAGAATTACAATGTAAAACATATTACACAAGGAGCGGATCTTCGACAAAGAATGAGTGAATCACGTTCCACCCTTCACGGCTTTGGTAAACTCTAGAAAAGTGGAAGAGATTCACTCCT